TTTACTAAAGTCCACATGCAGATACATTTCAGATTCATTTGGGTTTTTGTGGGGTTGACTGATGGTTGGATGGTTGCAGTATTTATTGGGAACTGGGTAAAGGAATAAAACCATCCTGCTCTCTGGCTGCCTCACCTGTGTCACCTGTGTCCATGGTGCTTGTGATGTCATCTTTTGCCTCCTCCTTCACCTTTTCCACCTCTGCCTCCACCCCACTCTACATCCAAAACAGTATAAAACATTGCTTTTTTGTTTTTGTTTAGTTTAGTTTTTTACATTTGTTCGGCACACATCACCAGCAGCCAGACATCAAGGAGCAGGTGTTGTTAACTTTTAAAACCTGTTTGTCGAGGACGCCGGCTGCGGAGCTATACATGTGAATGATGTCATCCAGCCGTCGACTGAACTGCTCCACAGAGTCCGGATTGTCAGGAGAGGAGGCAGAGCAAGCCACACCTGCCGTCTCGCCCTCACTGCTCTCAGGCTCCAGTGAAGATGCCTTGACAGATGTGGGAGGCACCAACACCTCAGCTGCTTCCACCGACGTCTCCATTGTCAGTTTTCTGGAACTAATGCACATGGATTTTTTATTTTTTATTTTTTTACAGCAGGCAGATACAGAGATTTACAGAGAACCTAACAAGACGAAGTAAAACTTAACTGTTGGACGTCACTCATTCAAACTGCAGCATGTAAAAAAACTTTGATTTCACTCTATTCATATACCCTTTAATATTTAATTGAACTATATGACAAAATCAGATGGTCTAGCAATTGTTTCTGAAAGCTGAGCATTTAGATGTGGGAGGTATGTTCTGATTCAAGTGTAACAGAAGGATTACTCTGTGGTTCTATTCTTTAAAAATGTACAAGTTTAAGTTTGGACAGTAAGTTTGAAAAATCTACTGAAAACCTTTAACAACTATACAGCTCATAAACAGCTCACACCAACTGCAAACATGCTTTCCATTGTTTAGCACATGCTAATCCAATGTAAAGTATCTGGCAGCTGTCACTTTAAATTTAGCTCACTGATAGCTGTGACAGATCACAGCAGCGTCACAACTACTTTATACTAGACTCAGGAGGAAAATGTTTGCAGAGATCAAATCAAAAAGCCTTTTCTGAACAGTCTACTGTAGACCGAAAGTGTTTTTGCAACCACAGCTATATCCAATCTCACTTTAAGCACATCAGCACTGGCTTCTTTTTTCTGACCAGGAAGATACATCCATGTCTTGTACTGTCTCCGGTCTCCGGTAAGCTTCAGTTTTGGGTACAAGTCAAAAGACAAAGTACATCTATTAAAGGAAACAAGCTCAGACTCCAAAAGTCTTTCTTGGAACCAAGAACCAGGAGTCTATAAGTTATAAGGTTGTGTTGTGTTTCATTACATTTCTTTAATTTTAAATCATCCATTCACTTTTATCTCTAAAATGTGTCCAGAAAATGATTTGGGGAAAAAAAACTGACAATGTGAATATGGTTCCATGAAAAAACCCAACATATTAAAACCCAGAATCTATAAAATGCAAAGATTTACAGTTTGTCTAATCAATAAATTGACCGGTGACTTCACGGTAGGTTTGTTGATGTCTTTGAAACTAATAAAACTGCCATGTACAGTGAGGGGAAGGAACCTTTAATCAGCGACCAACATTACTTTTATTTTCCCATCAGGCGTCATCGAGCTCACCGCCTCTTCCTCTGTGTGTGTGTCCACATAGCTCTGTTGCAACATGACGGCTGCCACCGTTATTATATCTGTCAAGTTAAAATTAGCCATCACAGTGAGATAGCCAACTCTGCCCTCCCCCCCATCCACACACACAGTCACACACACACTGCAGGCTACAGCTGTTGTAGTCTCATCTATTCTGAGAGCATCCAAATATGGTTCCAGGCATACAGTCACAGATTTTAAGGCTAAACATTATTATAAACTTGTTTTTTTGTTTGTTTGTTTTGTGTGTCTGCTTCATGTTTCCGCTGTTTTGCCGCCCCACTGCAAAAATACACTAAGCTCCTCCCCTCTATATTACACAACCAATCACAGCCCCTCCCCCTGAATTACAGACTGTTGACCACGACTAAATAAACTGCTCATGGTAATGTTTTTACTTGATGACTGTGCTCAAGCTGGATGATGGAAAAACCACATGAACATAATCTGGACTTTGAATAACTGCATTCTTTGCTCTTGATCATCAGCTAAATCTTAAAATATCAATGTTATGCTTGTTTCTTGTTTGTGTTTTTTAAGGACATTCTTAGTTTTGGACAAATGATCCTACACCTGACCTCACTTTATGCCTCCAAAATAAAATGATCCATTTACAAAATTAAAAGAAAGACATTACTGTCAGAATGAGCCAGAACAGCCAAACAGAAAACCTTTGGAAAAACCAGGTAACTGCAGAAAGATGTAGACAACCAAAAACAGCACAAGCAAGGCCAAAACATTAGTAATTGTTTACATGTGACAAAGTGAACAGTCCACCAACTAAACTGAAGTAAAAGGAGGCACAAGGCACCTTTAAAATTATCACATATATCACATTTTTCACTGTACTGAATTATCAAAATGATCCTTAAAGAATAAGACACTGCTTCCTTCAAATGCAGGTATTTTTTACATTCCAGTCATGCTGTGTATGAAAGTGCCGAAGGGCTGAATATAGACACGCTGACAGTGACACAGCCCTTTATTGTGTCATGGCTGCCATTACAAAGCTCTTCATGTCTTTTCCATGTTGTACGTTAAAGTTATTTATTAAAATGAAAACATAGCAGCAATAACATTTTTTCATCTTTAAAAATGACCATCAGGCCCCATTTATGCCTGAAACAGGAGGAAAAATACATTTCCAGTTTGTTCCACAAAGTAGTCCACTTGTGGAAGTGTACCCAAATGCAGCAGTAAGAACGGTGAACACAAGTAAGTAAGATTTCTGAGGAAGGGAGGAATGAAAAAGTCTTACCAGGATCAGCAGAGTGAAGGAGGTGAAGAAGAGACGGCAACAGACGGAAGAAGAACGGGAGGAGGAGGAGGGTCCTGTTCACGGGACAGCTGACCCCCAAAATAACATGAGGATCAGCTCAGGAACATGCCGGTGACTGCACCAGAGTGTGCTGCGACTGTGGATAAGGGGACACATTCTGATGGGGGTGGGTGGGTTCCCGAGAGTCTTTTGTGATTTTAGAAATAACTTCATCACCAATATTCACAGGTCACCTAAAAACCTGGGTCTTAAAAGTTTTTAGGCTAAATGCGTTTTAAAAAAAAAAAAAAAAAAAAAAAAAAAAAAAAAAGCAGAAGTGAATTTGAAATGGATTAGAAAAGAAACTAACAGTAATGATGACGTTGGGTCAAAGGAATCAGACTCAGACTCACAGTCTTTAACACAATCAGCACAGTAACAAGTGGTGTTTAGGACATTTCAACTACAACAGCGGAAGACAATTCAATACAATCACACACACAAAACACTGCTACTGGAGACTATGAATGAGTATGTCTTGGTGTTTCTAATCTCCAACCTTCCTTTAATCTCAAAACTTCTTGAAAGAGTAGTTGTCAAACACCTAACAGATTATCTTATTTTAATAGTTTCAGTCAGGTTTCAGAGCTCATTGCAGCACAGAAACAGCTTTAGTGAAGGTTACAAATGATCTTCTTATGGCCTCTGACAGTGGACTCATCTCTGTGCTTGTCCTGCTAGACCTTAGTGCAGCGTTCGATACTGTTTGAACTTCTGCAGTCAGGCAGAAGGTTCCATTGTCACGACTAATAGCAGGGACTCAAGTGCAGAGCAGGGGCCCGTTCTTCGTACCTCGCTAAGTAAGTTAGCTGGATTAGATTGTTGACGATTTCGCGTGATCTGGATCGTTCGGTTCCCCGAAGCTCATCCGGGACTTGCTGTCATAGCAACAGAGCCGTAAGCGTAAACCTGCTCGGGAGCAGGTTTACTTTATGTAAACAGGATTAGATCGCGGCCACGCAGGTATGTCCGCTTCATTTATACGAAAGCAACAGCGATATTCCACCACTGTTTCACCATAAATAAATAACATCAATGTAACTAAAGATAATGCAGCACTTGATCCTTGTTATTGATGTCACACAGATACATACAGGTCATTTCCTAAAAAAGGGAAATGACTATTAACATTCTATTACATGTATGTGATTATTACAGATGTAATTCATATTTCAGAGTAGTAATTGTAAATTACTTCGTGTAATCAAGATGAGAGACCACGGCTATAAAAGCGAAGGTGGATTTGGGAAGCCTGTCGCGCCATTCTCGTATACGCGAGCAAGCCCATTGCGGAAGGTGCAAGATTGATAAGGAGAGTCTCAGAATTCAGCGTATATTGCGGGAAGACAGGATCCTTTAGCTCAGCGCGACAGTGTGCTCATTGAGAGATATCGATATTCCCGTGAGGGTATTATTTACTTAACCAACTTGTTGACGAGGGGGTGCAGGACCACCACCTGTCTTTTTTTCCTCTGCCCTTTTCTTGGTTGCTGTTATGAACAAACTAACAGAGTATTACAGGCCAGTATTACCTTGCCAAGAGACGAAAAGCAATCTAAGAGATAAATATTACCATTCTGTAGAATACTCCTGTATTCCACTTTTACTTGTTCCCATGTTCTTGTGGGTCCTGTTGTGGCTCTAATGTGAAAGGGGATATAATATAACATATTATGATATAATATAATGCCATATGATATTGGACAATATAGTGTCATATGATAGATCTACCCTACCGCCTACTGGTGTTGGCCAGAGGGGCCGATGGCGCGATATGGCAGCCTGGCTACAACCGTAGCTGCCTCCACCAGTGTGTGAATGTGGGAGTGAATGAATAGTGGTATCGTAAAGCGCTTTGGGTGCCTTGGAGAGCGCTATATAAACCCAATCCATTATTATTATTATTATTATAATTACCTACGAGTTTGATTTGTCAGCAACTTTCTGCCAGCCCTCTCTCCTTGCTTTTGCAGCCTTTGCAGTGTTCTCTTGCGTTTTAATTAAACTCTGAAACTCCTGAAATCCCTCACTCATGAGTTCTTGCTCTGCTGCCGGAAAATACCGAGCACGCCCCTTCGACATTTTCGCCGACCAATCAGCGGGTTGCCGATCACTGTTTCTGCTATCGATGCGTAGCCCCTTTTACTTTTTTTTTTTCAAAAGACAATTACTATAAAATGCACATACACATAATTACAAAAGCTCAGATTCGACCCGGATCCCATTACTTCATCCAGCTGTAGTAATCGTCAACAGCAGGTGTGTTCGGGGAACCGGATTAGCGAGCTCACGGTTAGCGCGATGATTTGATCTTGGATGTGTCATTTGATCTTGGATGTAGTAAGCGACGTACGAAGAACAGGCCCCAGGTTGACGTCTCCAAACACAGTTTATTTACAACACCAGTCCAAGTCCAGGGCACCAAAGGTCCAAGGGGAAACTCTCTCACACTCGCTCTCGTCTTCAAGCCCAAACTCACACACGATCGCACTGCAGGAAGGTCACAGGTCCGGGGAGGAAAACTATTACACAGGGAAAAAAGAAGTTACTCGCAAGTCACAAAACACTTAAGCACAAATTCATGGAAGCTGAGAGGACCACTAATGAGAAGATCTGTGTCCCAACCTCAAATAGTGGACAGGTCATGACAGCTAATCGTGTACAGGTGTGTGGGCCAAGGGCGGGAGCCTGCAGTGAGCTCCGCCCAGGCAGAGAGAAGAGAGAGAGAGAATACAAACACATGTAGCCTTGTGGGGCCGGCTGGGCAGGCACGGAAACCATGACATCCACACTAGCAGGTCAAAAACAGAGACTAAAGAGGAGCTTCAATCCTCATGCTGTCCGAGTCCTAAATCAGAGCATCACCATAAGTGACTGAAACAGGACCTTATATCATGTTCTTGTCACATTCCAGAACTTTCCCAGTCTTATTTCATATCATATCTGATTTATTATTACATCACACATTGCTACACTGATCATGCTGCTTCACTACTGTTTATATTACTGTGGTCACTCTGGTCACTCCGTTTGTCTCTTGGATTGCTCTGTCAATACATTGCTGTGCTATGTGGCACGAAGCCCTTTATCATTCCATTCACACAATGTACATTTTTAGATTTTTAATTTGAATTTACTTATTGTTTATTGTCTATAATGTCTTGCACTTTAATGACTACACATATGACAAATAAAAAACTCTTGAATCTTGTCGAGCATAATATCCTATTAGAACGATTAGAGCATGCTGTAGGTATTACAGGTACTGCGCTGCAGTGGTTTGAATCATATCTATCTATAGACTCCAATTTGTTAAAGTAAATGGAGAGTCCTTGTCACACACTAAGGTTAATTATGGAGTTCCACGGGGTTCAGTGCTAGGACCAATTCTGTTAGATCCAGCAATGACAAAAGTCATTTTTAATGAAAGACAAGATGATTTATAATAAAGAGGATGACACTGGATTAAGTTTACATTACGTAAGTTAAAGCTTACATCTTTCAATTTAGTATTTTGTTTTCTTTACATGCAAAGTAATTTTTTTTATTTTTATGTAATTAATCATAAATCTTTCCCTTTTTTGGCTTATGGTGTTGGAAAACTGTAAATTACAACCAAAGAGAAATCAATAACAACATTATTTAATAGAAAAAGGAAACTAATTACCACACTAGAAAAAGAAGTTTAAATACAGAAGACAAGTGACAGACAGACGCTTCGAGTAATGCCACGAAGCCGAAAATATGACAGGATATATAGAAATATACTGTATATAAGTAAATATTACAGTAATATATACAGTAAATATTAGTAAGTATATACAGTATATATTACAGTAAGTGAGTATTCTGTAGTTGACCAGCTGATGGCAGCAATGAGCCACCAGGCTGCTTCAGGGAACTCCATTAAACAGCACTGTGTGTGTGTTCGTTTGTGTGTTTGTATTACATGTTGTGGGGACATAAATCTGTTTTCACGTGGACATTATGGCCCTCTGTGGGTACAGTGTGGACCTGCTTTCCTTGCGAAGACATAAAGTACTCACAAGTCCTTAGAAAATTCTGGTAAGAGAGGTTTTCTTTAATCGTCACACATCCATTTCTGCACTCATTGTGTCTGACATAAAAGATGAGAGTAACTGTCCCCATTTACCTTACACACACACACACACACACACACACACACACACACACACACACACACACACAGCCGTATTGGGGGCACTTTGGCCAGATAAGACTGGGATCATACTGAGCCACAGCTGCCCTTAAATTTGTCTCTAAGACTAACATAAGACAGAGGTACGAGCCATTTTCACAACTATCGCTGTTTTCTCCTTAAAGTCAGCTGACCAGCAGGGCTACAAATGCATTAATAAGAAATATGTCAGGCGGCCTGAATCATTCTTTGAAGCTGCCCTGCTAAATCTGTCCTTTCAGTATCCAACACCTTGACCACAACCTTCCTTTGTTTTTAAATCAATAATTTATTACAGTTGATACCTAAATGCACTGAACTGTTTCCTGTTTCTCTACACCACACAGTGCATCACTGCAGACCATCTCTTGGGCACACAGTGGCTGCTGACTGATAAACCTTTGAAGCATTGTCTGATTTTTACTTTTTGCTGTCAGAATTCAACGCTTTTACTAATTGTGGCCTATTTCAAGGTGCACAGATGGAGAAAGCCCATCTGAACTACAGCGAGAGATTCTCCAAAAAAGGAGAAATGGTCGCAATTTTTACTTTGAAGAGAAAATGAGTTTTATTTCCTGCGTAAAACATGTCTGGCACCGAGCATGCAGGTATTAACCCATCAGCGACTCTCTGACAGGCTTTTAGCTCTGATCTTGTCTCAAAGTAAAAGTCCCTCTGAACCCTCTGTGATTTTATTTCCAAATAAATAAATGATGCTTCAGCAGCAGTTAAAGGATGTCCGACACTCTAAAATAAAGCTCTCCTGACTGACTGCATGTTTTTCCTCCATCAATGTTTCACTTAATTCCATTTTTCACTTAATTTGAATGTCTACATCATTTTTTCCCTTCATTTTCCCATTTAACAGACATCCTTACATTGGAGTCTCATTGTAAGTGATTTAATAAGTGAGAAAATAACAAATAATGGATCTATAATTGAAGGCACCATTTAGTTACCTAACCTCAGATACTACAAACCAAACAGAGCGAACTTTCACATTCAGGTTTTTAAAGATTCATTTTATATAACATTTTAAATACTATAACACTTGAAATAGCAAAGTGACCACCTCACTAGCTTCACAGAATCGCATTGCTCAGTATCCTGCCAACCCTGGAAACTTAGAATTATGATGAAGGGTTTGCAATTCTGAATAGATGGGTTTTAAGACACAATTTAAAAGTGCAGTGATGGCTGTGTGAAGGCAGGCAGGACATGGTGGACCCAAGAGCTGGACTCACGGAGGCAAAGTGAACTCAAAACACACTGCTTTATTGCAGGTTTGCAGACAGAACAGAATACTAGCTAAACTGGGAAAGCAAAAACTAACAGACAAGTTGGCAAACAGAACAGTATGAGGGATAAAATGACATGGAACTAAGGGAGACTGACATAAAAACACAGAAGGCTAACGAGGGAACACAGGGAACACAGCTGATACTAATAATAATAATAATAATAATACTACAGGGAAACGAGCAAACACAACATAACACACACAGACGAGAGGCTGTCAAAGTAAAACAGGAAGCACACAACAGACACAGAGATCCAGACTAGACACTGAACTTTACAGACAGACTCATGAGCAGACACTATGACATCATGGATAGACAGAGGTAGGCAGCCTGGGATCGAACCACCGACCTTCTGACAAATGTGTTTGTGTGTGGAATGTGAAGGACTCAGTTTGCACATAGAACAGAGGTTGTTTGATTATTAAATACATGCAGAATGTAAAATACCACCAGACATCTTGTAGATGATTAAGACGCAGACACAGAAGACAGACAGAACTGAAAATCAAAAAAGTGGATTTTAGGAAAGTAAAATGGCAAACTGATAAACAGCAGAGTGGAGTAGTGGTTAGCACTGTGGCCTCCCAGCAGTGGCGGTCCTAGCCTGTTTGGCGCCCTGGGCGAACACTCCCTCTGCCCCCCCACAGACAAAACATATTAAGGATTGTACATAACACAGACCACACAGACCCACACACACACACACACACACAAACACACACGACACATCACACACACACACACACAAGACAAGAGGAGAGAGTATGCATAGTATGCAAACAGCTACCAAACAAGCCATCATAATTCTCATACAATGAGAACAGGACAAATTAACAATGACTAATTAATATTCAAATCTGTAACATAATGTATTGTTTGGAGTTTAGTCTGTTACTGTTACTATTTTTACCATTTCTTCTTGGAGCAACTGTAACGCACATAATTTCCTCAGGGATTAATAAAGTATTCTGATTGTTTCAGGATGACCTGCCATTATCCAATGACACACCTGTATCTTTTGCTTGTTTCTCCTCTTCTTTTCTAAACTGAGGACCTGATGGCTTTGAACTTTTCTTGTCCATCTTCCATTGGTTTTAAGTTTGCACTCCAGTATGAACACCCATCCCTCAACCCAAGGATCACCACAACATGATCTAACACACATAGGTTCACAGATGCAGGATTCATATCATGAATACATAATGGGCTTGGATTTACAACATTATAAATGAAATGTGCTCTATTTGGAAGCAGCAGCCCCCCCTCCCCTTTCAACAGGTTGTGTGTGAGACTTTAAATCATCAAACTGTAAATTTTAAATTGTTATTGATCCCTTTATTCCTAGTCCTAAAGTGTATATTTATTTTCTTACCACACACACACACACACGTAACTGGAGCCTCGTCGTCTCGTCTCTCTATATACTGTACTGTATGTAGCGGAGATGACAATAAAGTTTAGCAGGCGCACCGAGGGCTCTCGTGCTCACTTTTCGTGTATAGAATTTCTAAAAAACATCGGTGCAAATTATAAGTCTGTATTATAATGTCTGGTGTTTTCGTGTTTGTTGGTTTGTTTTTATTTTGTTTTATTTTGCGAGTTGGTTATTAGATGCTGCTCCAGCCGGTCAGAGAATCCCCCGCCGCCCCGCCCTCTCCTCTCTGCGCCACAAGCAGCAGGCGCATCTCACAAACGAATGGCGCCCTTACTCCCAGGAAATGGGCGATAGAAAACCGATCGGTGCCTATGCCATTCCCAAAATGCGCTGGCTGACGTCGGGGCAGCATGAGTACGAGCATTTTTTTCTTTTTTCTTTTTGCCGCCCGTATCTAAAACCGCTACTGCCTCCCAGCAAGATGGTCCAAAATTCAATTCCATCATGAGACCGGGGTCTTTCTCCATCGCATATTCTCCCTGTTTTTGCATGGGTACTCTGGCTTCCTCACCCACTGTGGCCCTAAATTGGATAAGCAGAAGAGAATAGACAACAAATTGATACATTACATGAGTACATTAAATACACCATCATTTTCTTTACTTTCAGGCATTAAAAAGCCTGTTATCCGGTCATTAGCCATGTCTGGGAC